TAAGTTTTCTGTTGTAAGTTTTTATGTCCAGAAACAACACTCATGACCTTGAGCAGTCGGTGCCATTTATCACACTTTTGGTGATTTCTGTGTCTCGTAAATCACAATTGTTTGTGAAGTGTAGATTCATCCGTGTATTTATGGATCAGCATGGAAACAGCTGTGCGGGTTTTCCCTGTAAACCAGTCCCCTCCTGTCTTTACCAACCAGGACATAGATTTCCAGGGTACGGCCAATAATTACTGGCTTTGGAGCACCCCGTTCTTGCCACTGCCTGTCTTTGGTGTGAGTTGGTTCCACGGGGCGCATTTTTCCATTTTGAGAACCATCTCCTGCATGCCGAGTCCTGATAGGGGGTGTTCTGGTTCCAATCCCACATCTTCCTGTTGTTACTTTGGGGCCATTTAATAGAATGAGCTGACGCAAGGTTAGGCTTCTTCATCTGAGTCATGTGCACAGTCATTTTGGTTTCCAATTTTGGTGGGTGGAATCATGTTCCCCAAAGATGTTGGTGTCCTAAGCCCTGGAAACTCTATGTCATATCCTCACGAGGCTAAAAGGGAATAACAATTAAAGACGGAAATTAAGATTGCCAATCAGATGACCTTGAGATGGGGATTTGTGACCTCCAGAACTGTAGGATAATACGTTTGTGTTTGGGTGGCGCTGGTTCTCAATGGATATCCAGCCAGGCTGGGGAGAGGGGACAGACTCGTTCCATATGCCCGTTATTGGACAGTTGACTGTGTTTGGGATGATTGTATCGTAGATGATAGGACTGATTGGCAGTCTGAGCAGGTGGTTGGAGTCCTGGCTAGCTCAGCCTTGTGCTCCTTCCTGCCATGGCCTACAGATGCCCCCTTGGAGAGGCGTTGTAATCCTATTAGAAATCCATACCCTCGATTATGACCTGGAGCTCCTGCTTCTCACCTGTGGTCCAAATGCTCTGTGGGCTCTTCCACTCAACGTCCTGAAACACACATGATGAGCTACGTAGAGATAAAATCTTTTTAGATTTCCAGGGTCAACTCACTTATGGCACTTGGGACTCAGAATTACGGTATCAGCTGGGAGATAACTTCAGGGACCCCTGAGTTGGCTGAACCGCGCTTGGCGGGAAGCCGATCAGACTTGCTTGATGCATCATGGCATTGGGAGAAAACAATCTGAGGATCTGTGCCATCCTCAATCCGGGTGAATGGAAGGTTCTGGTGACACTGGACACAGACACGTTGGGTAGGAAACCACCTTTGGGGTATGGAGCAAGCAACCACGGGCCTTGAAAGACATTTCGCTGGACTCGTTCTGTCAACCGAGAAACGTGGTGCTGGACTGGAGTAGGGTCTCCGTTCTGCACCTCCTGTCTCTGATCCGTGCGAGTACCTTTCATACTTAGTACCTAAGGCCAAGGAGCATTCTTTGTGAAGAAAATGCTGTCCTCGGGAGAGCATTCTGGAAGATCACCTGCTGCTCTTAGCACTGGAGCTACTTCAGGGTTCCTGTGCCCATTTCTCACTTATAAGCTAAGGGGTTGGCCCGGGTCCAGGGGTCACTGCAGTTTCTTGGTCCCCCCAACCCCCGTTCTTGGGGCAGGGGGTGTAGATGGTGCTCTGTCATCATGCCCGTTCCTCCCATACATCTGTTTCTCAATGTGTCCTGAGCATTAGCCAGGGGATCTGTCTTAGCCCATTTGGGGCGCCATAGCAAAAACACCATGGACTGGGGTCTTCACCAGCAGACACTTACTTCCCACCATTGTGGTGGCTGGATGTCCACGATTAAGGTGCTGGCAGATTGGATTTGTAGATGGTGTTCTTCTGGCTGAGTCCTTGCACGGTGGAAGGGGCCAGGGGCCTCCTTGGGTCTCCTTTATAAGGACACTGATTACATCATGGAGGCTCTGCCCTCATGACCTGATCACCTCCCAAAGACCCCCACCTCTACCCTCATCACCTAGTCACCTTCCAAAGACCCCTACCTCCACCCTCCTCACCTGATCACTTTCCAAAGACCCCCACCTCCACCCTCATGACCTGGTCACCTCCCAAACACCCCCCACCTCCACCCTCATCACCTGATCACCTTCCAAAGACCCCACCTCCACCCTCATGACCTGATTACCTCCTAAACACCCCCACCTCCACCCTCATCACCTGATCACCTCCCAAAGACCCCCACCTCCACCCTCATGACCTGGTCACCTCCCAAACACCCCCACCTCCACCCTCATCACCTGATCACCTCTCAAAGACCCCCACCTCCACCCTTATGACCTGATCACCTTCCAAAGACCCCACCTCTGCCCTCATCACCTGATCACCTCCCAAAGACCCCACCTCTACCCTCATCACCTAGTCACCTCCCAAAGACCCCCACCTCCACCCTCATCACCTGATCACTTTCCAAAGACCCCCACCTCCATCCTCATCACCTGATCACCTCCCAAAGACCCCCACCTCCACCCTCACGACCTGGTCACGTCCCAAACACCCCCTACCTCACCCTCATGACCTGATCACCTCCCAAAGAACCCCCACCTCCACCCTCCAAATCCAATCCCTTGGAGGGTTGGCCTTCGACATATGAATTTTAGGGGAGGAGACACCCACATTTACATCGTGGCACATTTCCTTTGCTGTTTCAGGGTAGGGAGTGGCCTTCCATCTCTGCTTGATCCAGCAATGGATGGGTTAGCTCATTAATTTAGTCAATGAACATTCATGGAACACCAGCCTGGCACCTGCCACTGGGCCAGGTAGTGAGGAACAGGGAACCTGAGACAAGGTGTGTGTGCCCGGGCAACACTGGCTGAGGGGGGAGGAGGCCAGCCAAAGTGTGCAGGTGTAAAGGGTTGTTCTTCCCACGTAGGGCACACAAAAGCTGTCTAGATGGGACCATGAGCACAGATGACCACCCCTGGGCCCATATGTCTGAGACTAAGTCTTGACTGGGAATGGCCTCCATGTTGCATGGGGATTCTTCCCAACAGTGGAGAGGCCTCCTCCATGGGTGTGGATACCACACTTAGAAGCGCACACAAGCACTTAGTGCTTGCATGATGTCCCACAGAACCGTGAGCTCTTTCAGAGCATTATTCCCTAATACCATCATGGTTTATCATAGGGGTCATGAACGTACCAGTCGGGAGCACCACCGTGAGCTTGAGAACCCCGAAATGATCACCTTTCCAATGTGATGGATGTCTTCCCGGCCCATCGTGACTGCAGGTGGAATTTCTCACCTGCGCTTGGGCCACTCAGGACTGCTCCCTCTGTGACTGTGGACACCAGGGACATGGCTGCAGTGAGAAACGTGGGGTCCACTGTGGATTTCCAGGGCACATTCCTGGAAGTGATTTTGCTTCATCAATGGATGAATGCGTTTCAGGTTGCACTAGATATTGCCCGAGGATCCCTACCCACGTTGGGATTTTCCCCTCTTGCATTCCTACCCACGGCATACACAAGCACCTGCTCACCAGCACTGTGTCAGAGAAGTGTGGTGTCACAGTGCTTGGGCTTGTCAAGTCCGATGGTGTCTCATTGAGTTTTTGTGAACATCTCTCTTTTTGGGTAAAAACTCACACACCTTTGTAAGGACCATGTTGTATGTTTTCATATACACAATTATGTTCACCCATTTTCTTCATAGGGTGTTGTTTTTCTTGATTTGTAAGAACTCTTTACATATTAAGAAAATAGCCCTTTGCATGTGATCACGGTTGCAATTTTTTTTTTCTAATTTATCATTTACTTCTAACTTTGCTTTGGGCGTGGGTTTTTTTTTTCCATGCAAAATTATTTTAGTAGGGAAATTTGTCTACTTATTCTTCTCAACTTTGACTTATAATTAGGAAGCTGTTTTATACTCTGAGGTTAAAGATAGATGGATACATGCTTTTTTCCCCTAATATGTTCATTGTGTAACTTCTACCCCTTGGTTAATTTTGATGTGTACTATATGAGGTATTGGTCTAATTTTGCCTTTTTTCCAAATGTCTATTTATGTGTCCCAACACCGTTTTTAAAAAGTTCATCTTTGGGGCGCTTAGGTGGCTCAGTCGGTTAAGCGTCTGACTCTTGGTTTTGGCTCAGGTCATGATCTCAGGGTCTTGAGATCTCAGGGTCTGACTCTTGACACGCATTGGGCTCTGTGCTCAGCATGGAGTCTGCTTGAGATTTTCTCTTCCTCTCCCTCTGGTTCTCCAGTGCAAACCAGGCAATTCACAGCCCTCTGCCCACCACGTCCATGACCACATTGTTGGCCACTGTCCACCCTACCCACGCAAATCACCGCAGGGCCAGGGACACACACATAGGGACAGTCCTTGTGACCCAGAATCTACTGAAATTATTCACACCAGCCCATGCTGAAGTTGCTGAACCTGCTTCCCTGACCCATTTCTTTCCACAATAAAGACTCCTGTCCACATTTCTGTGTCCACATTTCTGTGTCCCTCTGCCTCCTGACCCACCCTGCTGCTTCCCCTTGTGGCCCCGTGGTGCGTCGTGGCACGGCATGCCCCCTCGTCTTGGGAACTGTGTGCAACAAACTAGCTTTGCAACAACAGGCACTCATCACCTGGTCTGTTGTCCTTCTCCATACCTGAGTAATAGTAAAACCTACATCCTGTCCCATGTTGCCTGGGAGCATTGACCCTGGACTCTCATCTGCGCTCATAAATGTTACTCCCATGCTTGCTCCCGACCTTTCTGCCAGTCATTTTGCTGATACTCCAGTCGGTTCCTGCCAAGCCCTTGGCTGGGGATGAGCAAGCATTTATCAGGTGTCTTTGACCAGGCTGGAATGACTCAGGGCTAATCCACCCTATTACATTCCTGTCTCTGGAGCCTGCAGGAATCCACGAAGAATCCAACCACAGATACCGAACCACGACACCCAGGGCCCATGGGGCGTTCTCCTGTGGCTGAATTCTTCCATACGTGGACTCCACTTCTAAAACTCACTTTGATTTGTTTTTTCTTTTTCTTCTTTTGCAGTTTTGGCCCCACAACCTGGCCGTGTTGCTATAGTGACTGGAGGCACGGATGGAATCGGCTACTCCACAGCGAAGCATCTGGCGAGACTCGGCATGCATGTGATCATAGGTGATGATTGTATTGTTGGCTAATGGAAGATACCCAGTTGTTCGGTTATATAGAAACAGTGATTTGCTTATAGGTAAAACAGATCTGGGAAACACCTAAGGATGTCCTTATAAGGACTCCGGTCCTAGTGCAATGAGGACCCACCTCACTGACCTCATTTTACCTAACCACCTCTTTAAAGACTCCCTCTCCAAATAAGGTCACATTCTGAGCACTTACGGGGTCTGGGCTTCAACCTATGAATTTGGGGAAGACAGAACATAGCCCAGTGTAGACTCTGAACAGGTTTTCAAAGACTGGCTTCCTCTGCAACTGCATCCCATAGACACTACATTGTCCATTCTTCTTTTTGAGACTCTCTCTCTGTTCCTTATCCTGGTGTAACTCCTCTTGGAAAATGAAGGGATTTTCTTTGCCTGGGGAAGGGAACAGAGTTCAAATGAACCCATTGTACTTTTGTTAATTTTCCCAGTGAATTGGAGGTAGAATTTTTAATCCGCTGTGAAAAATAATATGGTGCACATCACCTTTGGAAAAGAAAAAAAAAACACTTCATGCTAATTATGTCCCCCATTGACATCATTCGCATTTAATTAATACCTTTTATGGTGTCGTGTTTTTACAGAAATCATATTATACGTCTGGTTTTAGCTGTTAAGGATTGCTTTCACTTAAGACTTTCTATGTAACATTACCCATGGTCCTTTACTTATTCATTAATGATTTATTTCTTCCTTTCTCCCATTTTTTTCCTCCAACTTTTCTCCACCATCATTTTTTAAAGGATAATTTTGGGTCAGAAGCAATAGTTGGGGCTGGGTACTTAAATATGAATGTGTTCCACTTCTTCCTGGCTCTTGACAAGCTTGGTCCTTGGACCCCGTTGGTGTCTAGTGATGCCTAAATGCACAAACTAAATCTGTAGTATTATAAACCAAATGATATTGAGATGCAGATATAAAAATATGTAAGAACACAAACTTGCCATGTGATCGTAGACACGAAATCTTTATAGGACAAATAATGTGACTTACTGGCGGGTTCAGTAACTCCTACTGACTGGAAGCTGTGATGATCTTAAACTTTATTTTGAGACAGCTTCAACACCTGAACTTGGGTCTGAAAATATCTCTGGTTTGTGTCGGTGGCCAAGTCATAGACCCTGCCCATACTTCTGTGTCTTGTCCACATTCCATTGGGGGTTGGCCACCATGATGATGTTGATTGTTGGTGTTAAAACTCACAGACCCCCTGAGTTCCATGGCGGAGGGGATCTCCGAGGGGGCTCTTAACCCAGATGGGGAACCCCCAGGTCTAGCCAGTGTGGCCTTTCTGTTGTCCTCAGAGAGGCATGGCTCACATGGGTATACTTACCTGTTCCTTCATTCCTATAATCAAATGAACTCATGCTCCTAACTTTGAGGGTTTTTTTTCACTTTTGCAAAACATGACTCCACAATTTAAAATTTTTGTATTGCATGGCCCTTCCCACGTGTCACTCTTTTGAAAAAGTGCAGTTTTTTACAGTGATTCCTCCCTCATGGACCCATGTAGGCATCTTGCTCTCATGAGCAACCTGGTCTGTAGAATGGTGTATATTTGCCAGGCTTTGGGAGGGGACGATTACTTCTTGGTTGACCTCACTGTTGTTTTTCCTCACCAGTGTTTTTTTCTTCAGGGATGTGTCCAGGTCCCGTTGTCTGAATCGATGTGGAAATGATAGATCAGTTTTTGACAAGTCCTTGCAAGGACAGTCTTTACCAACATCCATATCTACCCCCCTAGATGAAGAGCAGTTGTTCACAGATGTGGGGGTCCTGCAGGACAGGGGACCCATCTGAGTGTGCATTTCTGGAACTCCTCTTCAATTTTAGCATCCCTGTGATGTGTTTATCTCTCCCTGTGACCTGAGCACATCAGGGAGACAAGGCATGTGAGCAGAAGGACGTGGGTCCCTGGGAGACCCCTGCCCTGTCTTGGATTTCTGCCACCATCTGGGATGACTTGATAAAAATGATGTCAAGGGGGCGCCTGGGTGGGTCATTCGGTTAAGCGTCTACCTTTGGCTCAGGTCATGATCCCGGGGTCCTGGGATCGAGCCCCAGTCGGGCTCCCTGCTCAGTGGGGAGTCTGCTTCTCCCTCTCCCTCTGGCCGGCCCCCCTGCTCTTACTCTCTCTCTCTCAAATGAATAAATTTTTTAAAAATTAAAAAAACAAAGTGACGTCAAATTGTGAACAAAAGGAGCAGTAGGTCCCCTCTGAAGGCCTGCTGGTCCTGAGCTAGTGGCAGAAGGAAGCTGGTGGAGCAGGATGGGGAGGGACCCTCCAGTCTAAGAACAGATAGGGGCTAGTGTCCAGTACTGGTTATCTCTGCCCCTTGTGACTTCTCTAGTGCATCTGTCTTCTTCATCTTCTTAATTCTTTGTGAAACTAGGCAATATTGCAATGCAAAGAAAAAAAAAGTTCCATTTCTGTGCTTTTTGCCTCAATGTGGTAGTTTAGGTCATGATGAAGTCTAGATGGCTTAGGTCATGATGGGGTCTAGTTGGGTTAGGTCATGAGGAGGTCTAGTTGGGTGGATCCTGAGGAGGTCTTGTTCAGTTGGGTGATGATGAGGTCTAGTTGGGTTAGGTCATGATGAGGTCTATTTGGGTTAGGTGATGATGAGGTCTAGTTAGGTAGGTCGTGATGGGGTCTAGTTGGGTTAGGTGATGATGGGGTCTAGTTGGGTTAAGTGATGATGGGGTCTAGTTGGGTTAGGTGATGATGAGGTCTAGGTGATGAGGTCTAGTTGGGTGGGTGATGATGAGGTCTAGGTGATGAGGTCTAGATGGGTGGGGTCTAATTGGGTTAGGTAATGATGAGGTCTAGTTGGGTTAGGTGATGTTGAGGCCTAGTTGGGTAGGTGATGATGAGTTCTAGTTGGGTGGGTCATGAGGAGGTCTAGTTGGGTTAGGTGATGATGGGTCTAGTTGGGTTAGGTGATGATGGGGTCTAATTGGGTTAGGTGATGATGGGGTCTAATTGGGTAAGTGATGATGAGGTCTAGTTGGGTTAGGTGATGAGGAGGTCTCTGTGATGATGACGTTTAGTTGGATAGGTCATGACGAAGTTTAGTTGGGTAGGTCACTAGGAAGTCAGATTGGGGTTAGGTCATGCTGAGGTCTACTTGAGTGAAGAGTATGTACTGCAGACACAATGCAGTGAAAACATGTGAGCAAGCATGTGGTACTCATGCATGTGAGGACTGGAGCCCTGTCTCTCCTATTACCTCCTCATTTAGGTGATGTTTGTTGAGGCCAGGAACAGTCCTGCCAGCACCAAAGTTCTCCTTCTCTTGAGTCAAAGAGAGTAAGCACCACCTGTGCTCCTCACCTCCTGCATCTTCTTTCCCACAGAGCTTTGGATGTCTGCATGGGTCTCAGTTTGATCCTCTCAGTCAGTCTAATCAAATGTGAATGTTCCTTCCTCCCTGAGTCTTTCAGGGCATAATTGCACATATTCTGAGAGGGACAATGTTTCATCTTGTGTGACAGTTTGATACAAGGCCACTTAATGAAATATTATCATTGGACACTTTAACATAAATTTCATACTAAATAAAAACTAAGAGATGTGTATACAATTTAAAATTTCCCAATCCTGCATCCATTAATGTTTAAAGAGCAATCAGTTACTTGCTAAAGAATTGAAAAGGGAACCTGGATCCAACCCAAGCACATTAATATTGCTATAAATACATTAATTATTAAATTTCTCATCTCACAATATCTCAGTTCTTAAAGTTTCAAAATACTGTTTTGGTGGAGGATCTTTCTTTATAATTCTTCATGAACAGCCATCTAAGGTTGAGACTAGGGGCCAGTAAATTTTTTCTGGTGTGGACCAGATAATAAATATTTGCCTGGGTGTGTCTCTAAATGATCAGCTCTGCCTTGATAGCAGGAAAGCACCATTGCCAATATTTAAAGCTACGGGCATGGCTGTTGTTCCAATAATCTTTTTTTTTTTTCTTTTTGCATCCGGGAGATCGTCCAGTGTGGCCCCAGGTCCCCTGTTTGCTGACTCTGGATTGGGTTCAGCATCTTTAAACTTAGCCCCCCACAGAAAGCATGAGCAGAAGGCAGACCCACTCTGCTTGTGCCTACCTTCCATTCTGGTCCAGTGCTCTCTCTCATGGAATATTTGCTCAGTAAATGTAGGAAATCTCTAGTGATTGCATAGAGTCAAGGTTCCATATCCAGCTGATAAAGATGACCTTTGCCAAAAAATGTGCCTGTGTCCATACCTCTAATACAATGCCTTAGGGAGAGTAGCGAGCTGCCCATCAAGGGGAGCTGTTACCATGACCAGTTTCCCCTGCTGGTTTGATGACCTCCGCTTTCTCTGGCCATTGATATCTTTTTTTGGGAATATGGAGCATCTCTCCCACTTCATGTAAGATTCCACTGGGCCACCCATCCCTGATGCCAAGATGGTGAATGCCAGACACGTGGCCTGGCAGTGGATGGCTCTTGAATATTTTAAAATTGTATGGGATTTCCGAAATAAGCTCATGCATGTACATGGCCCCAGCTTAAAGAAAGGTGAATTTTATTTTGTTGTCTTTGATGCCTAGAACATTTAGAGATGGAATATAACTTTCCTGGCATCCTGCCTGACTGTGCACCCTGTAACTCAGGAAGACTCTCTGAGCAAAAATCTAACAACCATGTAATATTCTCTTTCTTCAAGGGAGCTGAAGGTGTGAATATTTTCACAGCTGCGTTTTCTTGATGTCTGCAACTTTGAACTCCTTCAAGGTGGTGGCACGTTATATAATCTTTTAATTCACCCCTTAAAGATGTCTTTTGCCATATTTATCTTAGATACATCTCCAGCTGGAGCCAAAGACGTTTTCGATTTCACGACGTTCACTGCTTCTGCTGTCTGTGTTTCCTTAACTCTTTGTTGTAAACCCTTTTGCTTTTGGAAAGGGCATTCCTTCAGGGTTTTTGTTGGGGGGGGCACTTGTCAATGACACAGAGTAATGAGTGCAGGATACAGTCACAGGGGATCCATAGCAGGGCCCCTTGCGTGTTAGTCCAAATATAAAAATGAAACAAAATAGAGGAAAACAGCATGCAGAAATGCCTCCAGAACGGATTGCTTGGTAATATGTTTTCCTTGAGATCTCAAGAAGGTTGTACCCCAGAGAACACCTGGCCAGTGGGGGCTGGATGCAGGTGGGAGGGTGATGTGAGCCACCCTGCCCCTTGGAACCTGGTCCTGCCAGACCAGGTGTCTCTTCTGGTGTCCTCACGCCACCTGTCACTTCTCGGGGCTCTAGGAGCTTCATGCCCATGCCTGTGTTCCTCAGATGCCAGGTCTAATCCCCTTGTGTGGAAGTGCTCCCATGACTCACCCCTGCAGGGAGTTTCGGGGTTGGCTCACCCCGCAAAGGAGCTGAACATCTGCCTGAGGTCCAGTTTATTGTGAGCACTGGTGTGTAGGAAGACAGTGTGTCCTGGGCTTCTCCCCCAAATAGCAGCCCCATTCGGCACACCTTAAAATTCGGACCGTGTGCTCAGGGACACAGTTGGAAAACGAGATTCCTTCCTCCAAACATCAGTGCATTGTCTTATAGTAAGACACTAAAGAAGCCTCATTCACTATCTTAACCCCAAATTGCATAGTCTGTATTTTAAGGGTGACGTCCCTCACACATGAAACACGCGTGGCCATTCTTCTAAGCTCATGTTTCCCTGGAGTCATACCTGTGGGATTTGTACGGAGTCATTGATAAGGGAATGGGAAATCCCAGGTACATAGTGGGAATGGCCCATGATCATTTTGTAGCTCCGACCACCAGTGGGGTGGGGGTAGGCGGGCATCCACTAAAGTTTCTTAGAAAGTTCTGTGTGTGCTCTGAGCTTCCCACCACCATTTTTATGCTTAGGCAATCCTTGGCTCTCCCCAACCCCCACCCCATGTTCTTTGTGCCACTAGATGCCTCACGCCCCAGTAATCATCAAAAGGGAAAGTCTCCTCACCGGTCCAAGTAAAGGCAAGGTTTCATCAATTGGTAGGTTGTGTTGGCAAGAACTTCTCTGGTGACCCCATTCCACACCAGGGCTCAATGACAAGCTGTAAAGAGCCCCCTCCGGGGTTGTGTTTTGTGTCTCAAGACAACATTTTCTCGTGCTCAATAATGTCTGGATGACCTTGCCACTGATTGTATCTTTTCTTTTCCTTGTAGCTGGAAATAACGCCGGCAAAGCCCACAAAGTTGTGAGACAAATACAAGAAGAGACTTTGAATGACAAAGGTAGTGTTTGTGAGCCACGCGGCTCTTGTCCTTGGTCCGAGCTGATGTTGGCGGCTGAGCCACAGACTCCGATGTGGCATTGTGGGCGCGAGTGGTGGAGGTGGTACTTGGGGGTGGGGGATGTATCTCCCACTTGTGCGTTTCTTCTGGGGATTTCTGGTCTGCCCCCCGCGGAGAGTGGTGAACAGGAGCAAGCATGTCCCTGTGATAGCATTGGTCTGTGTAGGCATCTCCTGGGGGAGGCGTTCGAATGTGCCGGTTGATTTGCATGTCCTGTGACAACAGGACCTTGTTTCCATGACGTGTCCATCTCCAGGGCTGGGGGGCCCTCAGCGGCATGTCTTCATGCAGGAACTGTTAGATGCACCTGCCAGCAGGTGCATCTACTGGTTGGCGGTTCTGGACTACAGATAATTCCAACATGGATGTGTCTGGTGCCACCTTACTCAGTAGCAAATCCTGTAGTGCTTGCTCTCTCTACTTGTCCGGCCTGAGCAGTGGACACCTGTTTGTAACATCTCTCCCAGTTGCAAGTGCTATTGAGTGCTTTCTGAGCACTCATGGGCCTCATGTTTAAGAAAAGAAGATGCACATCAGTTATCTTGGACTGGATCCAACCAAGATGGCGCTTTGAGCATGTCCCAGATGCTGGGGCTTCTCCTGTCTGAATTTATCGTGATCGTTCTTCTTCTTCTCCTTCTTCTCCTTTTTCTTCTTCTTTTTCTTCTTCTTCCTTCTTCTTCTTCTTCTTCCTCTTCTCCTCTTCTTCTCCTCTTCCTCCTTTTCCTCCTTCTCCTTCACCACCTTCTCTTCCTCTTCCTCTTCTTCCTCCTCTTCCTCTTCTTCCTCCTCTTTCTTCTCCTTCCTCCTTCTCCTCCTCCTTCTTCTCCTCCTCCTCCTTCTTTTCCTTCCTCCTCCTCCTTCTTCTCCTCCTTCTCCTTCCTGTCTTCCTCTTCTTCCTTCTTCTTCTTTTTAAGATTTTATTTGTTTATTTGAGAGAGAGAGAGAGAATAAGCAGGGGGAGGAGCAGAGGGAGAGGGAGAAGCAGACTCTACACTATCATGGAGCCTGACTTGAGGCTCGAACCCACAACCCTGAGATCATGACCTGAGCCAAAACCAAGAGTTGGTAGCTCAACCAACTGAACCACCCAGGCTCCCCAATGGTGGTTCTTCTTAAAAAGTCGGAGACAGAGGAAAGCCACGGATGGCAAGTCTAGTTAGCATCTGTCCTGTGGTGCCCTTATTCCCCACCTAGCTCGTGCAAGGCAGCTGTGAAACTTGCCATTTCCTACCCTGTGCACATGGCGGGGGGTATGTCCCAGCTGCCTCTGACCTTTTTGGCACGACTCCTTTGATCCTGGGACAGAACATGGAGGGGAGCTTCCCCATAGGCCAGAGCCAGTCCGGCTCTTTGTGTAACACCAGGCATCTGTTGCAGATGGGAACCGATTCCTTCTGTCCCTGCCCTGCACAGAAATGATCATGACAGATGATCCTTGTCCCTGTCCCCATTTACCATGGTTCAAGGAGATGGCGTTCTCCAACACAGTTGTGTCCCAGCCCTGTAGCATCGCAGGGAACAGGTTACAAATGCAGATTCCTAGCCCTGTCAGGAGCCAGAGCCTTGTGACAACAGGGCCCAGGAATCTGCATTTCCCTCTGGTTGAAGCCTCATGGATGCACTAGCCCTTGATTTCCAGACCCAAAGAGGAGTTTCATGGGAAACCACCAAATCATGTGTTCTTTGTGACTTTTGAAAAATTCTGGATAAATTTTTTAAAAAGGATAATTTAAAGAATAGTTTGCCGGGCGCCTGGGTGGCTCAGTCGGTTGAGCAACTGCCTTCGGCTCAGGTCATGATCCCAGGGTCCTGGGATCGAGTCCCACATCGGGCTCCCTGCTCCGCGGGGAGCCTGCTTCTCCCTCTCCCACTCCCCCTGCTTGTGTTCCCTCTCTCGCTGTATCTCTCTCTGTCAAATAAATAAATAAAATCTTAAAAAAAAAAAAGAATAGTTTGCCAAAACTTGCTTAGGTTACAACCCAAGGAGGGAGTAAAGGTTCGTTCATAAAGTTCAAGAGTTTCATGTGTTCTAACAAAGCTGTAAGCAAAAGCCCTGATTTGTCAGAGGAAAGATGTTCTAGAAGCTGTTTCTTTTTTTTTTTTTTAATTTTTTTATTCTTATGTTAATCCCCATACATTACAACATTAGTTTTAGATGAAGTGTTCCATGATTCATTGTTTGTGCACAACACCCAGTGCTCCATGCAGAATGTGCCCTCCTCAATACCCACCACCGGGCTAACCCATCCTCCCACCCCCCTCCCCTCTAGAACCCTGTTTGTTTTTCAGAGTCCATCGTCTCTCATGGTTCATCTACCTCTCCGATTTCCCCCGCTTCATTTAGAAGCTGTTTCTAATGTTAGAGGTGGCTAATGCTGGCTCCCGTGCTGTGTTGAGATTCAGGTGTGGGTGTGCAAAGCCCGTGCGTTCAAGGGACAGCTCTTTGTCAGCTCCTCTGTGGTGGAGGGGAGGCTGCCAAGGGTCTTGAGTTCTGCAAGGCAATGAAGGCAATGATTCCTAATCACACAGGATGGTGCGCTCACTTCTGAGAGCAGGCACGCCCCTCTCATCAGAGCTGACGATGTGCTCTCTGTTGGTGGCTCCTGTTTCTTCCTTCCTGTCAAATGCCACCAAGTAGACACATGGAATTAGCATCAGGGAGACCCAGGCACTGGGGCGGATAACACTTCGGGTGCACACTTGCAGTCCCAGGAACCTCAGCCTGTCTCAGTGCATGCTGCACCCCCTCCTGGCCCCCTGTTTCTGGGCATCTCCATTTATGAAAGGGGCAGACCCTTTGTGTATATAAGAAGCATGGTTGTGCATCCTAGGTGGGGGTGGTGGGCCCTGCTTTGTCCTTTCTCCTTAGAACAGGACTGACTAAGGCCCTGAGGGGGGTCACTGGGTCTTGGGCATAGCCTGGCCTGGGAGCTGACATGCGGGGCCAGGGAGGTATCTGGACCCGAGCTGGGCAAGCCCTGAAGTGTGCAGCATGGGTACTCCAAATGGGGACCCCATTCATGGTAGTTTCCTGTGTCCATTATGACCGAATGGGTTGGTAGGATGAGCAGGGGGGAAAGAGGTCTGAGCCAGATGTGTGCATGCACACACACACACACACATTTTAAGTAAATCTTGTGTGCATTGAATTAAACGAGAAAGCCACACCGTATTAATTTTATATCAGAAGCCAGAGCCTTTGGAAGAGTTGGTCAGTGGAGGGCCCCCTTCCCGGCATGTTAGGTGCAGGATGCTGGACTTGGCCGGGTGGGGGCAGTGGGGCGGTGGTCCTAGAACAGAGTTTTGCTTTGGCTGAACCTGCATCCAGGCTCAGGGGCCCCCAGAGACACTGTACAGGGCACCCGGAGCCACTCCCTCTGCCATGGGGCAGCAGGTGCGTTAACAGGCCCCCTTCCTCTTGGCACATCTCCTTGCGACTGCAAGTCTAGCTCAGGATGCTCTCCAGAGCTGAGTTCAGATGGAGACACTTCTCTCCAGACCAGCCTGCACCCACTGGAGCCTCCGAAATTCTTGCCCACGCACCACCAGCAACACAACTTGGATTGAGGCCCATGGGAGCCACACTTACTCATGGAATATGGCTCTTCTGTGATTCCTGCATTGGGTAATTGTGTCTCTGTGGATTCTTTAGATTTTTTTTTTTTTTTTTTGAGCAAGCAAACACACATCCTAACAACATAAGTGTAGGTTCCTGTCAAGAACACAATGATTTCTCACTCCAGCCTACCTCCACCTCTTCTCTGGACTTAATGTAAGTAAAAAAAAAAAAAAAAAAAAAAAAAATCTAAGTTCTTAGTTGAATGCTTCATCCTTCTTACTTTCTGGTACTTTCTGCCTTTGAGGTCATGGTCACTTGAGAGCCCACTTTGGTTTGGGGTAGGAGGATGCCCACATACCAACCTTCAACTAGTTGAGCTCTTGGAAGGATAAATTTATGAGTGTTTTCAGGAACGAAGGCAATATGGCTCATTTCTCAACTGAGAGATTTTCCAGGGACAAGAGTTTGAATACCTTATCATCATGTATCCGTGGCGCCAAAGTCTTTATTGCTCTTGAGTAATAACTGCTGAAGAAAGCTGTCTTGTTTGGAGCAAATACTCTCGCTTCTAGGACCAAAGTAAATGAAATAGAAAATAAAAGTACAAAACCCAACACCACCACAAAAACAAATGGCAGAAAGACATAACAGCATCCCAGCGAACCCAAATGGGAATAGAGAATTTAAATACTCTTAAAAGGATTTAGAGAAGGTAATTCTGTTTTGGACATTCGCCACAGACTCACACAAAACCATAGCATTTATTCCTAATTCGTAATTATTAATTCCTAATCCTAAACCTTCAGTGTGATCCCACTGGAAATACAGAGTCTGCAATCTTCTCTAAAAGGCTTTGCTTTGTGTTCTTCGGAAATATCTTCTTGACCAGTTTCCGTCTTTCCTAACATTCTTCTGCCAGCAGTAGCTTGCTCCGTCTTTATTGGGAAGAAGGGCCAGCTGCTTGATTCATGGACTTTTTGCTCAGGTATTATGTCCGGTTTGCTTTTGTTGAAAGAGAACTTTTCCTGTGCTGGGAAAAGTCAGTTGTGTGTACTTACTGGTGAGATAGTTTCACCTTAGAAATACATCTTTGAACTATAATGTTTGGATTATCCAACTGACTATAAAGTAATTAGTCACTGAAGCAAAAAATACTATGATGTCAGTTCGGTATTCATTATGGGAATAGGTAATAGCGTCTCTGGATCGCAATCTACTAGTCTTTGTCATCTGAGAGATTCATATCTTGAATGTAGGCCTACCTTGAGATGAATAGACAGCTACTGTTTTTCTTCTACTCATAGACTCTCTGATTTTGCAGAATGATCCTTCTGGATGGAGCTTGGTCCATTTGGAAAAACTTGAGTGAATGTTGACT